TTGGCAGGTGCGCATATCCATTTTTCAACTTGGAATTTTGACATGTAGTCAACCTGCGCACATGTCCTATTTGGGACATTTGTAAGGCCGGCCAATGTATTTTACCTCCACCAAACCATATATTTTTGGAAAGTAGACACCCTAGGGTAATTCAAATGGTGGTATTTTAACACTTTCCATGCACTAATTCTATCACCAGACTTTGTCAAACTTTTAGGTAGTAATTTTTTGTGTGTTTTTTTCACACACATTGTACTTTAGGCATGAATTAACAGATTATGTTATGTGTCACTGCCAAACAACACCCCAATATGTGTTCAGCAACATCTCCTGAATACAGTGATACCACCCATGCATGGGCTTGTTGGGTTGTTTGGGGGCTAAAATGCCACATTTGGCAGGTGCGCATATCCATTTTTCAACTTGGAATTTTGACATGTAGTCAACATACGCACATGTCCTGTTTTGGACATTTGTAAGGCCGGCCAATGTATTTTACCCCCACCAAACCATATATTTTTGGAAAGTAGACACCCTAGGGTATTTCAAATGGTGGTTTTTAACACTTTCCATGCACTAATTCTACCACCAGACATTGTCAAACATTTAGGTAGTCATTTTTTGTGTGTTTTTTTTCACACACATTGTACTTTAGGCATGAATTAACAAATCGTGTTATGTGTCACTGCCAAACAACACGCCAATATGTGTTCAGCAACATCTACTGAGTACAGTGATACCACCCATGCATAGGCTTGTTGGATTGTTTGGGGGCTAAAAGGCCACATTTGGCAGGTGCGCATATCCATTTTTCAACTTGGAATTTTGACATGTAGTCAACCTGCGCACATGTCCTATTTGGGACATTTGTAAGGCCAGCCAATGTATTTTACCCTCAACAAACCATATATTTTTGGAAAGTAGACACCCTAGGGTATTTCAAATGGTGTTTTTTTTTTAACACTTTCCATGCACTAGTTCTACCACAAGACTTTGTCAATCTTTTAGTCATTTTTTGTGTGTTTTTTTTCCCACACACATTGTACTTTAGGCATGAATTAACAAATCGCATTATGTGTCACTGCCAAACAACATGCCAATATGTGTTCAACAACATCTCCTGAGTACAGTGATACCACCCATGCATAGGCTTGTCGGATTGTTTGGGGGCTAAAAGGCCACATTTGGCAGGTGCGCATATCCATTTTTCAACTTTCAATTTTGACATGTAGTAAACCAGCGCCCCTGTCCTATTTGGGCCAATGTATTTTACCCCCATCAAACCATATATTTTTGAAAAGTAGACAACTCAGGGTATTTTAAATGGTGGTAGTTTAATACTTTTCATGCAATAATTCTACCACCAGCCTTTGGCAAACTTTTGGGTAGTAATTTTGGGTAGTAATTTTCTTCATGTTTTTTTACACATACATTGTACTTTAGGCATGAATTAACAGATCCTGTTATGTATCACTGCCAAACAACACCCCAATATGTGTTCAGCAACATCTCCTGAGTACAGTGACATCACCCATGCATAGGTTTGCTGGGTTGTTTGGGGGCTAAAAGGCCACATTCAAGACTTGTACATATCAGGTTTTCAACTTGATATATAGGTATGCTTGGCCTATCTTCAGTTTGGCATATTTTTGCATCCCCCCGTTAATGTTAACATCATGAAAGTTTATATTTTTATAAAGTAGACATTCCAGAGTATTGTATATGAGGTGTTTTCACATCCTTCCCCAACCATTGTGCTAAACAAATTTCAGAGAACGTGCATGGTGGTAATTTTTTAATTCTGCTTTTTATGCACACGTCATCTGGTTTTGGCCAGCCAGTTATATGTTACTACCATAAAACTTTTTTAACCAAATGTGCAGGTATCAAATGCACCTTTAGCAGCATTCTCTAAACTAACTCCTGCAAAAAGAATCTAATTGGAGATTTGGGGGGAAGGAAACTGACTAACTAAAATTTGCTGTTTTCAAAAGAAAAAAAAACAGTGTCCTTTTCCCTTTTTTATAACAGACCCAGCAACATTTCAGGGGATTTGTTTTTTTTTTGCAGTTGGCGGTATCTTAAAAATAAAATGTCTGGACTCCTTTGGCACCGTTGTTGGAACTTGACCATCTCCATAAATTATTGTGGAAATCAGCTTGAACTAAAATTGGAGAAAGGTGGTTCTTTCTGAATTCATTTTTTTTTTTTTTAAAGAGTAAAAATTAATTATGTGTTGCTACTTGCATCAGGTAGATAGCCACCTTTTTATGCCAGGCTTTTGTCTTTCTTAAGATAAGATATGGCTGCATCAGCTGATCAGCCAAATCAACACCCCCCATGTGCCTGTTATAAGCCCTGATGCACACCGGTTTTGTCTGTACCCTGCCTCGGACAGTGGCGTCTGACATGCCCTCGTTATGGATGGTTGTTAGCATGTGAACATCCTTCCTGTCCTTAAATTTTATTGCAAGCACTTTAGCTTTGTGCAGACCTTTACATTCACTTTTTTTTTTTTTTGGCCTCTATTAAAGGTCTGGGGAAATCCTTGGCATATCTTCTCACACTGCCACAGGCCAGTATCTAGAAACCCTAAAGAGTTTGAAACAAACAGACAATGCTATAAAAATTGTCCACATAAAGGTGGTAACCCTTATTGAACAAGGGGATCAGTAAGTCAAAAACAAGTTTCCCGCTTGTCCCCAGAGAGTCAGTACAGCCAGGAGGGTCCAGTTGACCATCTTTCCCCTCATATATATGAAAGGCAAATGTATAGCCACTTTCGCTTTCGCACAGTTTGTAGCATTTTACGCCATACCTAAAGCGCTTTGAGAGGATGTAT